AGCAAACTAGATCTGTTCCATTCCTATTATATCATCGTTTCTATCTAATAATTTATGTATAAATCAATTAAAATAAAAGCATCTGTCTCAAAAGAATAAGTAGTTCTTAAATCAATTAACATCTAATTCAATAAAATAAATATAAGATAAGGCGAAATTTTTATTCATTATATAAGAAAATGTTTACCTTGTAAAAACATCAAATTCGAATATCGACACATGATTATTATTTGTTAAATCAATGGTATTTTGTAATGCTGTTGCTTCATTAATAGTTTGAATTGGATGAATATGATTTAATTTTTCTTTAAATTCTTCCCAAGGTACAATTGTACTAAAAAAAATTAAGAAAAAATGATTATTTCATTGTCAAAAGAAAAGAATTTTTTTTAATTATGTACCGTTCATTAAAATTAGACTTCCAAAAATCATTTGCTTCTTGTTTAGTTAAACGAAATTTTTCACCTTCATATATTCCTCTATTAAATAAAGATTTTAATTCAGCTAAATTATGCGAAAAATATAATGAAAGTTTTATTAAATATTTTCTATATGTTGATTGTTCATCATACATATGATGACCAGCACGTTTAAAACAATCAATTGTTTTTGTACATTGTTCAATAAGATTATCAATAAATATACGAAAATATTCTATATCATTTAATATATGTAAACGATCATCATAATTATTAATTATTTCACGTAATGTTTGATATAAATCAGGTAAAATATCAAGCATATAAGGTGGAGAATTTTTTAAATTCATTTTTGGCATTTGACAATATTTTACAATACGATCCATTTGTTTCCATACTTTTTCAATAGAACGTCGATCAATACGGTTTATGGAACGATGTTGAGAATTTGATAATATTGGATTAGTTGATATATTAGGTGTTGATGGTATATCATTTGTTGATGATTGAATTGTTACTATTGATGGAGAATCTTGTCGAGAACCAAGAATACGTCGTCGTAAATTAGATGCTGCTGCTTGGGCCATTATTTTGATTTGATTTCTATGAGATTATTATATCATCTAGAAAAAAAAAATTCTTAAGAGAATTTGAAAAATTTTAAATTAAAAGAAAATAATAAAAAAAAAAGAAATGCGTGTACAATTAACTTTTGTTTAGTAAGAAAAAAAACAATATTAAGGTTTTTTTCTTTCTGTTGACTGAGACATATATTCTCTTTTGGAATTGTATATGATTTCTTTTGAATACGAGATCACATTTGAAATATAAATACGAATATATGCAGGAAATATAACAAATCACGGTTAAAGGCTTTAAACATTATGCATATTTTGTAAGTCGGTTGCTTCGTTTGATTTTTTCAGATCACATGGTAATAACCATAACATCATTGGGCCTAAAAATAAAAGATTAATCAAACAGTTTTCCTTTAGTTTTCTTTTTTGTTTACCAGGCCCGAAAACTTTTCGCAATAAAACTTTTGTTGGTGGTAATATTTGTGATGCCATACGAGAGTTATCATCTAACTTTAATGTATCAATTAAACTTCGATCATTTAATATTGTCTGAACTTGATCGACGAAAATAGTAATAACAAATAAACCAAATAAACATGATTCAACACAAATTATTATTGAATGAACTCTGCATAAATAGAATAATTATTTGCAAAAAAAAAACAAAATCTATTCTGTATTAATACATACATTAGTGAATCATTTTTCTGTGAAAAAACAATTAATGACCAAATTACAAATGCCAATACATAGATACTAGTAACTCCTATACAAAAAAAAAAAACCAAACAAAAAAAATGCTTTTTTCTGTTTTTCAAAATTTCAAAAGGTTTTTTTACTTACCAATATAAAAAAGAAACAAAATAAAATATTTTTGATTAAATTCGCCGACACAATTATTAATCCCTGATAAATAAAATTATAATTTTCAAGCAATATATTAACATTCTACTTACAAGGACAATGATGATCTAATCTAAAATAGAATTTACAAAAATTATCTTTTAATAAAAAAAAATAAAAATAATCTCGAGACTTTCTTTCGCATCAAAAAGTAATAAATACTGTCATTTAATCATGAGATGGTAAGTTTCTATTTCCGAGAAATTTAAATAAAAGCACTGTAGAAATTTCACGGAAATTGATTTTGATACTCTAACATGCCACACCCCTCTAAAATTGACATTGTCTCAAGTACATTTAAATTGCATGAAAGTTCCAGAATATGTTGAGGTTGTAGTCTAGAGGTTATGTTAACATGTTTAGTCCTATATCATGACATTTTTGGGAGATAATCAACCAACAAGAATCATTTGATAACCCATAATTCTCTATGAGTTTTCATTATAAATATTTAATTTTGTTTTTGTTTAAAACAGCATATCATGATACAGGACATGGTAGAGCCTTTTTTTTTATAAAGTTCTCACTTTTTAAATGGAGAAAAGTTCTGTGTCTTGAAAAACTGTTAAACAATGGCGCTCTAATTATAAAAGTACTCTTTTACTTAGGGTGTACCAAAAGTTCTGATCACGACGTTACATAGCCATATAGTAAGCTTAAAAAAAACTTTCTTTCTATATAGTCTAATAGAGAAAAGAGTGCTCTATTTTGCTATGCTATTTGATCATACTTCAAATAATAATATGATAATAAATTTTTGATAACACTTTTTTTTTTGTTATCATTTGTGCTCATAGTACTAGATCACAAAGGATGAGGCAAGTTAATTTTCAATCCTCCAATGCGTTGTATTTACAATTAAAATATACCATAAGATGCAGCGTGAAAAGCTCTACAATTTACATAAAACAACTTGCTTTATAGTTGTACTTTTCATTTTCAAAATAAACAAAGTTTTAAGGGGCCAAATTTTGAGCATTGCAAAAATTGGTGGCACGGAATTTTCCTTCTTTTTAAAACAATTACAATAAGCTTCACTGTGAAGACTGTAGAGCTTTTCACGCTGCATCTTGTAGTGTATCTGGTTGTTAATACAATAAAGCATATCAGATGACAAAACGATGACATAAAAAAAAATGAATTCGCCATGTATCAAAAACATTATAAATTTCGCATGGTTGAACTTTGATCTTCCAAAATATTGTCCATTTTGAAAACGAAAAGTTCAACTATAAAGTGGTCATATGTAAATTGTAGAGCTTTTCACGCTGCATCTTATGGTATACTCTGGTTGTTAATACAATGTACTAGGGGATTGGATACTGCAATCCAAAACTTACTAGACCACAGACGATAACGGAAAAAGTCTTATCCAAAATTTATTATCATAATATTAGTTGAAGTATGATCAAATAGCATAGAAAAATAGGGCATTCTTTTCTCTATCAGGCTTATATAGAAAGAAAGATTTTTAAAGCTTACTATATGGCTAAGTAACGCCGTGATCAGAACTTTTGGTACACCCTAAGTATATGATAGTAACAAGCTTAGTTCAAAAAAGAAAGAACTCTGTCATATCCTGTACCTTAGCATGTTCCTTCAAACAAAACGAACAAGACAATTGACTGCAATGAAGTTTCTTTGAGAAGTCTATAATGCACTATCAAAAACGCATAAACAGAGAAAAAAACAAAAAACGTTTCCTGCTTTTTTTTTGAAAACAGCATATTATTCAAATAGGTGATGACAGAAATCATGTCATTCATAAAAGATTAGACCTCGGGCTATTCTTCAAATGCATTTTTCTTAATTTTGATAATTCTGATGAAAATCGACATTTTTTTAAAGGGACCTTAAGGCATCAGTGCAGGAAATTCATTTTAATCTAAATTGAATATAGAAATGATGTGTTGAGTTTTAGATTATGTTAGGTGCGGAAATTAATTTGCATCACACAGGCTTTTATAGCAAAAAATAAATTTTCTGACCCAATCAAACCCCAAAATTATAGATATTATTTCGACATTGTTTTCATCATAAAATGAATCTCTTAATTCATTACAGTAATAAATTATGGATTGTGTTCCTTTAATTAAATATGTAAAAATGCCTTTTAGCCATACATTAATGATATTTAATCTAGACGTTTGCAAAAATTTGAAATTCTTCGCGAGTGAAATGTACCATAACCTCATGAACAATATCATAATCTTATTTCAAATTAAATCAAAATAATTTCTATACTTTTGAACGTGCTCTCTGATTAACTTTGATCTCATAGTCGAAAAACAAAAATTTTACCTTCGAACGCATCTTTTGCAAATCCTAAATAAAACCAAATGACCTTCATTATTTAAAATAGTCTTGATCAATTAATTTACCTGCAATGATGGGAACGAGCTGGTCTATATGTATCACAACGATTACAAACTAAAAGAAAAAATATATTTCTATCAAAAAAAACAATCAAACAGAAACTTTTCATCACATACCTGTCCAACCGTCACCATTGACCTACAATACAATAGCAATTGATTTTCAAAAAGAAAAAAAAAACTAGGTTAAATTCATTTTATGCTTTACCTTATTATTATCATTTATTTTAACATCTGAAAAATCGATTCCTTTCTTTGGTAAAGGTACAAAACCCGGATCAAAATACGCAGCACGAGCATGTGAAAATATACAAAGAAAAATAAATGTACTGGTGATTAAAGCATGTAATGTACCATATAAACTGAAACGAAAATTTTCTACATTTAGAAACAGATTAATTAAAATAAAAATCAAACCTTTCATTTAATAATGGTACTATAATAATAAATAGAATAGCATAGAGACAATGTAAAAGCATTGCATATGTTAATATAATACATACAATTCCGCATGGATCTTTTTGAAATAACATTTTTATTTTGATGAATGTCAAAAAATAAAAGAAAGGTAATCTCAAGGAAGGAAAAGAATGTGCAATAATTCAAGGAGGAATAAAAGAAGAGAGAATAATAAACAGATGTTTTTCATTGGTTTTTATTCTTTTACCAATAAAAATTTTTGTTCGATCAAATATTTATTAGCGCAATCTAATTGTTTGTCAAATATGAATTCAGCTGCTATAAATGATTGTTTAAGTGGTATAGCTGGTAGAATATTCAATTTTTGTTTTGTTTTTTATCTTTTTTCTCAACATAATTTATAAATTTAGGTGCAACAGTTTCAGTTTATGTTGGCCAACCGTTGGATACAATCAAAACAAAACTTCAAATATTTCCAAATCATTATAAAAATTTTCTTGATTGTGCTCAAAAAATTTTCTATAAAGATGGTATAAATGGTTTTTATGCTGGAACAGTACCATCATTACTTGCAAATGTTGCAGGTACTCATTTAAAATCTTTTAACTAGAAATAAATAGATTACAATTTTTTTTGGATTATGAAGAAAATGGGGTTTTATTTATGGCATATGGGCAATGTCAAAATATGATTTGCTTATTAAATAATAAAACTCATCATGAACAATTAACATCATTAGAAAATATGGCAGCTGGAAGTTTAGCAGCAATATTTGCATCTTTTGCTTTATGCCCCACCGAATTAGTTAAATGTCGAATGCAAACAATGAATGACATTCAGCTACATACACAAAATCCAATGCATAAAACCATGTAAATAAATGTTTGTGTTTTTGTTTTTGTTTTGCATTCTTTAGGTAAACACGTGATAATATTTTTAGTTCACCAATAGATATAACACGGAATATTATACGCAATGAAGGTATACGAGGATTATATCGAGGGTTCACCGCGACTTTAGCTAGAGAATGTCCTGGTTATGGATGTTTTTTTGGTGGATATGAATTAACAAGATCTTTATTGACAAAAGAGAATGAAAAGAAAGCAGATATTGGTAAAAATAATTGAAAATAAAATTATTATGCTTATTTATTGAATATTTATTTTGATACATAGGATTTGTTAGAACATGGATTTCGGGTGGTATGGCTGGTATTTGTTTTTGGATATTTATGTTTCCTATTGATGCAATAAAATCACGTATACAAGTGTTGAAACCAAATATGAACACTATGAAATATACAATCGAATTTATTAGAAATGAAGGTAAAACAACATATTATTTTGTATTTATAAATAATACGACATTTATTATATAATTAGGTTTTACAACATTGTATGCTGGTTTATTACCAACACTTATTCGCAGTTTTTTTGCTACCGGTGCTTTATTTATGACTTACGAACAAGTGCAAAAATTTCTACATCGTGCATTTTAAATGTTACAAGTTAATTATTTTCAGATTTATTTTCAAATGAAGTATTTTTTTGTGATTTATTCTGTGATTTTTTTTAATCTGTTAATTTTTTTTGTTAAAAAATAAACTAATACAAATTACCAATGATTTTTTTTATTATTATTATGTTATCTTCTTTTATTTGTTTTTCTTATTAGAAAAAAAAAAACTTATCTATGAATGGATGAAACAAAACTAACAAGTAAATATTTCACTTCATAATACATCTTTCTTTAATTTTATGTTAAGAATTTTCTAATCAATTATCACCAGAAACATTTTCACTGCATGTTCGTGCTGGTACAACTGTAGTTTGTCTTAATTGTTATGGCAATCGATTAATTGCGGCTGGACAACAAAGTATAAGAAATTCAAAAATAAAAAAACATCATTGTTGCTTGCCTTTTGTATTTAAATAAATAGCCTTTCAATTAATTGCTATTGAACAATGTGATGAAATAGAACGATTTACTGAACTACATGATTTTCGTAATGCATCAAGACAAGGACGTGCACCAGTACAACCAACAGATATTGGGTGGAATCCAAATGACGGTAAGTTTTTTTTCAAATATTTTTTCAAATAATAAATAAATGAATTGTTTTCAAAGAACATTGTTTTGCATCGGCTAGTACAGCTGGTCTTTTAAATATTTGGGATGCTAATCAATTAACTATGATAAGCCAATTTAAAATTCACAATGCAACTATTAATCGTCTTCAATTTCATCCAACAAGTAAAAAATTTCAAATAATAAGAAAAAAACAACCCATGTAAATATTTTTTTTTTGTTTAATTAAGATCCAAAATTATTATTAACAGCATCACAAGATGGATATGCAAAGGTTCAATTAAATAATTTAACTATTTTGATTAATATTCAATATATACATGTTGTTTTAGTTAATTGATTTTCGAACATTTAATACAAATAAAGTTGTTGCATCATTTCGTCATGTTAGTGAAGATGGCTTCCGTGATATACATATTAATAACGCTAATCCAAATTTATTCGCTGCTGCATTAAATGATCAGTGTATCGTACCAGTATGTGAAAGTATTTATTATATGTATGAAAAAAAAAAGTTTTTTGTTTAATTAGCTTTGGGATATTCGAAGAATTGAATCTCCTGCTATGGTTTTAACAACAGCAGATAGAACATTATGTCTTGCATGGAATTATAATGAACCTTATTGGCTTGCTACAGGCGGTCGTGATCGTACCATACGGGTAAGATTGTATTAGTAATTTTTAAGCAATAAATAGAACTATTCTCTTTTTTTTTGAACTAAAGATCTGGAATGCACAAGATAGTAATAATCGACAAGAACCTTTATTTAAAGTGCAATCATTTGGCACAGTAGCTAAACTTAGTTGGCGTCCAACATGTCGTTATCATATAGCATGCTCAACACTTTCAGTAGATCCACGTATTCATGTTTGGGATGTTAGACGTCCTTATTTGCCACAAGCATCATTTTGTCATCATCAAAGTATGAAATTAAAATATATTCTCACTGTATTAAGAAAAAAATTCCTATTTTGTTGTCTGTTTTTAAATATGTAGATAGTTTAATAGAGAGTACCATTGATTGTTATATTTTCTATTTAATAGTTTTCCAATGATTGAAAAAGAAATTTTCAATATCTTATTATAAATAATTATTTGTCTATAGGCTTGAATTTTTACTTAAACCTTATTAAAATTAGGTTTCTTAGATGGATAGAGTTAAAATTTATTTATAAAAATATATTTTTAAGAATAGAAGCATATATTTTATTTTCTTCATTGTATAGAATGATGTGAACTTAGCTCATTACAATAGATAGTTTATAATTCATTAGCTGTATAATGATCAATATCAGTATTAACTTTTGAATGCAATACAAAGGTGAACAAAAGTCTGCTCTACTCCCTACTATGTCTCAACTTGCATAAATATAGGACGTTTGAAAATTTGTGTGCACAGATTTCATAAAAAATTTAGATTAAAGGCATGAAGTCCCCTGATAGCTTAAATGTAACGAGAATTATGATGAATGGCGCCTATTTTTGCTTGCAGCTTTTTAACCTAAAAAAAGGATGTCTATTAAATCTTGGACTACTTTTTATCAAATACATGACTAATTTTAGATTATTTTATTTACAATTAAAGCCCAGTATACGGTCTTTCGTCACTGAAAAGATCATGTAATTTGCTGCAAAGATTGCTCTTTTCGAATGTCTTTGAGTTCTCAGCACCAACATGATAATTATTGGCATGTCATTTTCCTTTAGAAGAAGGTTATTTTCTGAGACCTGTTGTAGACAATAATGCTCAACTAGAGGCAAAACTTATCAAAAAGTTTGAGCTCGATTCATTGAAGTATTACAGATTTACGGTGTACAATGGGTATCAGGATTTTTTTTCGTCCCTTTAATACTGACAGTAAAATGGTCACCATTCTAGCTGTATATTTGTCATGTAATTCAAATTGATCATTGCATATTTGTATCAAATTAAGTAAAATTTAGCTTCTTAAATTTTCAATTTGCACGTGATTCTACAAGATAAGGATATCGTATCGAATAATATTGATGTAAGTTTAACTATTTCTAATGTTCTTAAATCATCAATACAATATTCTATTTATTGTATATGTTGATAAGAAAGTGATCAAAATTTTAAACAAGAAAAACAGAGACTATAATATGATAGTACCATTGAGTAAAATCGTTGATAAGTCTACGAACAAAACTTTCTCAAATTTTTGATACCTATTGTCATCCTGATTTTATTTTCTTTAGATAGTATTGGTGATTTTTCATGGCGTCCAAATTCTGATAATTTAGTATCTGTTGGTCGTGATGAACGTTTAGTACATGCGCATATATCAAGTGCAATAAAAACTGATCAATGTGTACCTTTATTTTCATTAAATGCTACATCAAAAGGACATGTTTACGCTGCAATGCCAAATATTAATAATGAATATATTCAAGCATTATATTCTGAACGACATATTCCAACATCTTTTACAGGTTTAAAAAGTTTTTTTTCGGAAGAAACTATGTCAAAATTTTTAAAATATAATGAAACAATTCATGGAAAATCTATTGTTGGTATGTATTCAAATTCTTCAACGGATAATTCAGTTGAATTATTTCATCAATTTGCACGACGATGGACATTGGGTAATGGTGATAAATCATCTGAAGCTTTAACTGATACTTGTGATATAAATAGTTATGTTGCTGAACAATTACAAAGACTAGACTTAAAAGCAACATGGCAAGTTATTAAAATGATTTATGCCGATTATGATGGTTTACAAACTTATCGAATAAGTTCATCAAGAAATACACAATCAGCAACGAAAAATTATCATAATAGTGATTCATTAAATAGTCATAAACATCATCATCATCATCATCATCATTATCAACAAACAGGTGGAAAATCAAAAAACCCTGATGTACAACAACAAGAAAATGAATTTAATGAAGAATTAAATGGAAGAAAAACAGCTAAATCACAAGAACAAATCATTCCATCGAATTCACAAATGGGTAAAAACAATTTTTATTTTTTTATATTTTCTAATCATTGACTTTCTTCTAGACATGATCGATGATGTTGATACATATATTGTACGAGATGTATTAACAGATGATATTATATTTATTACACCTGAAGATGCATTGAATAATAGCAGCAGTTATGATATGTTATATGATAATGAGGTAAATATTTGTTATTCTGTATAAAGAAAATATATCGATAAGCGTCTACACTAAGATTATGTCTAATCTTGAATTCAAATTTCAATACGTTGAATGTTGGATTAAGTGAGTCATTTACGTTAAAACTCGAATTAGTCTGTAGATCAATGTCGGATCCAGCTACTTTTTTGATGAGCTGTGATGACACAATCGTATTTCAGGTAATACAATTACCAGTTGATCAATTAAGTTTAAATTTGTAAAATTATGGTCGGTTCTATACATAAGAACGACTTCAAAGGAAAACCGTTCATAAATATTCGAATCTTTACTTAATTTTTCTATTGATGATTGTACTATCTGAAATGCCATTGCTTTCTCAGAGCTCGTCATGAACAATCTGAATCTAACGTTAATCTACAGACTAATTCGAATTGTTAACATAAGTTTTCCTCTCAATTCGGAATTGAGCATGTGATCCCAATTCTCATGTTAGTATATGTATTTTTTTATTTACAATAGCCTGATATTTATATAATACGTGATGGAATACCCATTGCATCAAATGGAACACCGTCAGTAATAAATGGTGAAGGTGATATAAATGGTTTTCCATTAGATCGATTACCTCGTCAATATCCGGAAATGATGATAGATGTTAGTCAATTTGAACCTGTAGATGATTATGACGGGTAAGAAATTTTGTTGAAGTAAATTTCTATATTTTCATTCTTTTGTTTTTCAGTCCTGAGAGTCATATGCAAATATCTACACAATCTATTATACCTGATGGTTCAGATAAATTTTTCACAATTGATGAAAGTTATTGTCCAACAATGCAAAATCATCCATTAATTTTTGACGACGTACTTCGAAAAACGATTCAATATTATGTTGAGAATGTAAGCTTTTATTAAAAAAAAACTTCAGAATAGTTGTATTTTGAATATATAGAATGAGCTTCAAGTAGCAGTTCATCTTTTACTTGCACTTTATTCAATACTTGGTGAAAACAAAGTTTTCGAATTATTTAGTGGTGCTCATTTTGAATGGATTGGCATGTATATTGGTATGTATTTATTACTAATATTAATTTAATTTAGTCATTTCTATTCTATAGAATTATTACAAAAATTACGTTTATTCGTCAAAGCTAAACAAGTAACAAAACATTGTATAGAAAAAGAAAAAATACCACTTAATTATGATCCAAGTGAATTTGATGGCGCGATTATTCTTTCAGCACAATCACCAACGCTTAAACGTCTTCCAAGTACTAATGGTCCTTCTTTAATCACTTCTACTGGCAAAAATCTTCCACCAACACCAAAAGATTTTCTGTGTTCAATTTGGTTAGTTTAGTTTAATTTCAACTAACGATAACAGTCAATCAAGTTTATTTTTTGCTTTTTTTAAATGTTCGGAAATTTAAAACTACTTTTGGTTGATATTGATTATTTTCTAAAGAATAGTGATCTTAGAAAGTAGATTTCAGAGTTTATCTTTTTTTGGAGTTTTTCTATAAGTTACGTAAAATAGCTTATCATGAAGTGGAAGGAACTAGACTGAAGACAGATACATGAATTAGAATGAAGATGAAAATAACACTTAGAGCGAGCGACCAGCTGACCAGTGACGTGCCCAATGGTGGTAGAGCAAAAGAAAATTTCGAGAAGTGAAAACCTTTCCTTCGCCATGGTGTTTCCACATTTTGGACTGATCGATTCCCCGCTCCCCCCCCCCCCCCACCCTCTGGAAAAAATTCCCGGGCACGCCACTGTTGGTGACTCTTCGAAACTATGCCTCTCTTTTGATAAAGTTAAAGCGTATTATATGTTATTAATAGATAAATCCGATGATATAAATAAATCTCAAAAAATAATTTCCCAGTAGTACCCCTCAACAACTTAAAATATGATTTAAAATGTTAATTTTGTTATTTATAGTCGAATACCATGTCGTGGCATATTTTCATTTTGCGGTGTTTGTTTTCATGGTGGTCATACTGATCATATTCGAACTTGGTTTAATACTCATCATGAATGTCCATATGGTTGTGGTCATCGATGTAAAGATCGTGACACTCAAAATCGTCCTTCACGTGGTATATCTCAACGTTTTACTTTGAAATCATAGTTTGTCTTTCAACAGTGATTCAAAATAAAAAGACATGATAATATTTTTTTCATTGCTATATTTTCTATCTCAGGTGTTCAAGAATTTGTTTTTTTTTGTAATTATACTTATATTTTGTTTTCTTCTGTTTTTCAATGATAAATTTATTTCGAAGAAAGAAATTTCTATTGATTTTGTTTTTTTGTTTGATAAAAATTTTCAAATTTATTTTTTAGTTTTATTTTATTAATAATCTCAAACATGCTAATGGATGATTATAAGTATTTATTTAAAGTTGTTCTTATTGGTAATGCAAGTGTCGGAAAAACATGTCTTGTACGTCGATTTTGTCAAGACGTTTTCCCAACTGGACAAGCAGCAACTATTGGCGTGGATTTTTTAATTAAAACTGTTGAAGTTAATGGAGAAAAAATAAAAGTTTATATTGAAAGTTATGTTTTTCTTTTCGATGACTTTCTTTTTCATTTTCAGCTTCAAATATGGGATACAGCTGGACAAGAACGTTTTCGCTCAATAACTCAATCATATTATCGATCAGCAAATGCATTAATTATTGTTTTTGATATAAATAATCTTGCAACATTTTCAAGTCTTCCGGATTGGGTTCGTGAAGTAAAAGCTTATGCTAATAATGATGTTTTATGTACACTTGTTGGTTAGTACGAATTCATTCTCGTTTTCGTTTATTGAATAAAACTAACCACTTATTTTTACTTAGGTAATAAATCTGACATTAACCAACGTGAAGTTCCAACACATGTAGCCGAACAATTTGCTGAGAAAAATGATATGTGGTATTTAGAAACATCAGCTAAAAATAGTGAGAACGTTGGAAAATTATTTCAAACTATAGCTGAAGAATTAACAATGAAAGCAAGAGAATCAACAATGGGTGTATCAAATAGTGGACAGGATACATTTCTTCATGGACAACAGCAAACAAAACCGGTGAAGTCTAATTGTTGTTAATGAACTTCTCTTTGACACTTTTTTATCATTCTCATTTACTAATAATTGTTTGTGCAGCGGCAAATAGGGCGTGCTTCTTTTTTTCTCAATTCTCGATAGTGCATTTACTATTCAATATGATATATTTCCTTTTTTTTGCATAATCAGTTTGAAGAATCTCTTCTATTTGTTTGTTTTTTTGACTTTACAAAATTTTGTATGCGTTTGTATCATTGTTTCTTGCTTGCTTTCTTGAAAAAGATTGAAGTCAAATTTGTTTTCAAATGTGCAAAATTTTAACAGGATAATACAATAAATGCAACTCAAATAACAATAGTTTAATAATTTTCCTATGGAGTTAAGATTATGCTTGAACATCGATTATTATCCACGGAATTTTATTTTTGAGTAAAACAGCGGTTGATCGCGGTTTTTCTCACTGCGTTCAAAATAGACTGTGGTGTACTAGAGCTAGATCACGGTATTTGATGTCACGGTTCGTCGAGGTTTAAAATACCACGGTGATCAAGATAGTAACCACGGCATTGTATACCGCGGTTAGTCGCAGTTTAAAAAAGCGCAGTATGTCTATTAATAATTGCGGTATTTTACATCGTGGTTAGTCGCGGTTTCAAAAATCGCGATGTACCATAGCTCAAAAGCAGTCGTGTCTTGAAAAAGCCTCGGGAATCAAACCGTTTATTCAGTTTTTACAAATATCGTCTTTGAAAAACCGTGTTGTACCACGGTTATATATTTCTTTCACTGCATATTGAATTATGAGGAAATGTGTAAGGACGAGAAGGATGTCGTGCCCATTATTTCTATGAAAGTTTCAAATATTCACATAATCAATCTGACACTGAAAAGTCATTTTGTGATAATGGGACTTGAAAAAGTTCACTAAGTCGCCCCTCGAAGGGCAACCTTTCTGAATTTCAGCAGAAGTTCAGGCAGATTTTCTGATCTCCAGCTAGATATGGTCGTCCTGAAACAACTCGCGAAACCACGGTGTACCGCGATACAAGAAAACCAGATCGCAGTGCGTCTTAAAAAAACCGCGGTTCGCACCAATTTTGAAAAAACGAATAAATAGTCTGACGCCCGCGACTAAAAACAATCGTCATTTGGTATATCGCGGTTTACTGCGATTTTTTTTCCGTGGGTAGAATATTCGATTCTTTTCACAAGAAGCATTTTTACATGAAAGATTAGGTTCATTATTTCATAATCATACCCATAAAAATTTAGATAATGCAGTAAAGAATTGCCCCAGTCAAGCAAAAGCTTATCGTTACTATGTTAGAGTATTCCGACCAGTTTCTTAATGGCTACTTCTCGTTTACCAACATTAAGAAAATTAAGTTTAACTAAAATTAAATTGTTTTAAATTTTCGGCTGATTCGAATTTGACAAATTTGATACATTTCTATAAAACCATTAAATTTTATAGTTAAATTTTAGAAACTTAAATAATGAGAAAGTCTAATTATAGGAAATAAACCGTTTTTCGAAATTTCAATAAAAACTGATTCTTTGTTTTTTAAGAAAAGCTACTGTAAGGACGGAGGCGCATTAGAACCTGATTCGATCCACTGAATGTTTTTTCATTGAATACCACGGAGTCATGCATGGGACGAAAGAGAAAGTTTTACCTAACATTTTCATATTATATTCCAGGAACCATAATGATTTTTCCTTAACACTTTCCCTAAGCTCATAATGATACGCATCCGACTTATGCATACTAATCTAGATGGACAATTTGTCAAGGACAACTTTCTTCCATCAACTTCGCTAATGACTCAGCAGATAGAGCGTGAAAAATTCTACAGAATCATATGACGTTTAAACCTTAAAAACGATGGTCACTAGAACATGATAAGTACAATGGGTTCAAGAGCCCATCCCAGTTTGCATAAATGGTAACCTTTTTCTCCATATTTGTTAAGAGAAAGATTTTTGATCCAACTTTGTTAATATTTTACTAGATAGAGCGTGAAAACTGGCACTGAACCACATGATTTTGAAACTTTAAAAAGCCTGGCCACTAGGACATGACAAGAGCACTATGTTCGAAACCTACCTGGTTTTCCTAACTTGTAATCTAATTGTCTATTTCTGTAAGGTACACATTTGTTGCTTCAGCCTCGATAATACCTCAACAGATAGAGCGTGAAAAATGCTGCGAAACGGTATAATCTTTAGACCTTAAAATGCATAGCCATCCGTACACGGTAAGTACCCTATGTTCTAGACACTATCTGGTTTGCATGAATTTTAAACTTGCTCCATAATTACCTGGAGAAACCTTGTTTCGACGTTGCTAATACCTTATCAGATGGAGCGTGAAAACTGCTACACCTCCACGTGATTTTGAAATCTTAAAATAGGGCTACTAGAAAGTGATAAGTATATTATGTTCGAGACGTCATATGGGTTTCATGAATACAGATCAGGTGCTCCAGAGTGATCAAGATATAGCCTCTTGTGGAAGTCTTGGTAGTAGCTCGGTAGGCACAGCACTAAATATCCAACAGGATGATGACGTTTTTAGATTAATAAGGGTTTGATGGCAAGTGTTCCAAATAGAAGGTCTCGCTTAAATATCTCGGTGAGTAGTATTGTTGGAAGATTTTCAGGATAAGTAAACGGTATGATTTGTTTTTCTGCCTTTAAGAGACTTTTCAAGGATTTTCCACAAAGAATGATGATGAAGAAGTTGTACTGCAGTAGCTAAATGATTGCTTTATGCGACTAAAAGTAGTGCGTCATGTAATAGTGAAGTCTATCAGCACTCTGCAACGATGATAAATTGAAATAGCATTCGATTATTTGCATAGTATAGTCATTTTTTTCATGGAAACAATGGTTTGGTCATTGACAGGGGTAACTGCAACTAGTTGAAACAGTTTCTTCGCTGTGAAAGATTCAGAGGATTGTTCAAAATGAACTTTAGTTCGTTACCACCAGAGTGGTAAGGAGTTGATAACTCATAATACTTGAAATTATTAGGTTAACAATTCTGCAATATTCTTAATACAAACATCTATTACCATATATTTAAAATTGAAGAGGATTAGTGGAACTCAGAAGAAGAGAATACGAAGTGAGTTTTGCTTGAAATTTGAGTATTTTTGCGTTCGTACAGTAGAGCAGCATGGTGGTTATATTTCTGATGAAAACTGACGCTTTTTGTATTTCTTGATTTTAATCTCATTTGAAAAACAAAATGTTGATTTCATGTGAAAATTTTTTATTTATAATAACAAGAGCATATATTTTTTATGTTTTGTGATTGTCGGTCTCGAAACAATCGGGCAATACACAATCACAGTGTTCCAGTTTCCATCTTATAAAACCATGATTTAACTATCATGATATGATTTAACTTGAACATCCTCATTTTGAATCTTACAGTATATCATTGAAAAGAGATAGCTAGATTTAAGATTCATTTTCGTTGAGAAATTCGCAAAAATGTTGAATGCTGCAATGATGATGTGTTAGCCGATGCTCAAAATTAAAAATTCAAGCTACTTCACAACATATAATGAAGATGCAACCGGATTTAATCCACGTGGCCCCTCCTGCTTGCAACGTTATCGTAATACATTGAGAGAGCACTGAAAAGAAGTTGCTTGTAGTACTTAGAAAAATCGTAACCACAAGAATAGATAACGATTCTGTCTTTTAAAGACTTTTAAAACACGTTTTCTTGAGAATAAACAACGAAAGGCCAAGGCTAGGTCTAAGACTTCTACTAATTTCTATTAACGAGTTCGCAATGGTCTTGAGGGCTGTTCTGTGGAGTCTGTTTGAGAATATATCATGTGAATCGCAGATTACTCATGACTACTATCACTATTTTAGACCTAATGCTTTTTCACACGTGAAGCATGCTTTAGTGGTTTTGTGCAAAACTAGTAGTAAAATCTGCCAAAGGAAAGCTAATGCTCACTAGAGTTAACTAACAAAGTTTTCAATGCCTGATTGTGGGATTCTTTCACCTGAGATACGTCGAAACCTTCGACATTAGCAGTCATATCAATCGTAATGGGCAGGAGAGTTTAACTGCCTTCAAAAAGCCGAAACTTACCAGAACGATGAAAGTCGCACCGAAGGTACGATTCCACGTCATAATCATTACACCGATCGACAGCCGTAGTGAAAAAACCAACGAACAGATCATTTTTTTCTCTCCTGAGTCCTTCTGCACTTCGTTCCGACACTTTCATGAATGTCACGAACCATATATGTATATAAGATTCTCATCCCATACTTAAATTGAAATCCATAGTACTTTTCTGTATCCGAACTGCTGTCATTATGTTTCGTGCATCATATTACCTTCGTACTGTACATCTACCAGATGGACACTTGTAAAGTATTTCTAAGTCCCATGAATCATATCGTTCCACAAACACTTTTAGGCATTCTTCATTAACTTCCACGATACTGATACCTCTGAATATCTCTTGACTACTAGGGGTCACCAGATCCGTATCCATGAAACCCGGATGGCGTCTTGAACATAGTGCACTTATCATATTCTAGTGGCCATCGTTTTTAAGGTTTAAAAGTCATATGGTTCTGTAGAATTTTTTGACGCTCTATCTGCTGAGATATTATCGAGTTTGAAGCATGAAAACTTTTTTTGGCAAATATAGAGAAAAAGGCTACTATTTATGAAAACCGGGGTAGGCTTTTGAACAAAATGTCCTTACCGAATTCATGTGGCTATGCTTTTTAGCCTTCGGGTATTAAATAATTGTGTAGCTTTTTTCACACTCTACCTGCTGAGTCATTGGCGAAGTTGAAGGAAGAAAGTTGTCCTTAGCAAATTGTCCATCTGGATTACTATGCATAAGTCGGATGCGAATCATTATGGGTTTAAGGAAAGTGTTCAGGAAAAATCCTTGTGGTTCCTGGAATATAATATGAAAATGTTAGGTAAAACTTTCTCTTTCGTCCCATGCATGACTCAGTGGTGTTCAATGAAAAAACGTCCAATGGGTTGA